GTAGACAAATAACAGTTCCATGTGTAATGGAGTGCAATGGTTATCAAATTAGTGCAATGACCAAAGTCCAAAATATAGAACGTAACGTTCTGCTATAATCATACCACGCCCAAGGTGAAGACTAAGCAATAAACCTACAGCCAAACTAAGAAAGGCCATTGATATATAAGTTTCAATCTCCAATGGCTTAGGTTAGATCTCCAACTATAGACAAATTCATACCAACTAACGCAGTGAAATTTGGATAAACATTAGATACACTTTAGCGTAACGGTTCAAATCCACAAGTGATAATCCCCTACTCTACGAGAGACGTATTGGATCCACAAGAAAACGTAGAATACACCTAATTAAAATAGAAAACAACTTAAAAATAGGAAACTAATGGACTTGACAAAGTTGTCCTACATAACAAACTGTATCTAAGAAACTCGAGATAGCAAGCTTCAAGGAGACGAATACTGGTGCAAAGTGCAGATGCAATCCCACATGGAAGAATATCTTTGTATCTTATTCTTAAATTGTTGGAATTGCTGAGTTATAAAATTTAAGCTCTAGGATAATGACAACTAGTGAATGAAGATTATTTGATTTCTCACAGTTCTCTTTCTCCAGGATTTGTGTAGTCTAGGAGATTGAAATTAAAACAGAAACTTTTATAACTTTGTTGGAGGGTCTAGGAAGCTATAGGTACTAGGTAGTGTGCAACCCCTTCCTAATCATCTAGTTTCAAGTAAAACGGAAGTACTTGTTACTCAATCATCAAGAACAAATAACTTATTTAAGCACAGATCAAATAACTTATTTAAGCACAGATAAAAATTTAAAATTGGCCAAGAAGAAGTTTCTTATCAATCAATTTTGATTCTTGAAGACATAGCACTTGTGCAATCAACCTAAATGTTTCAAAATTTAGCATAACTAATACAGGAAATTCAGCCCTTCTTGTCCATTACCAGAACTAAATGGACCACATTCCCAAGCAAGCATCAAACTTAAACAAATGCTACGCAAAAAGCTTCAGCAAATACAAGTAAAGCTCCTCTAATGATACAACAATCAACAAGGGCTAATAAAATTACCTGTGGGACGTGGATACACTTCGGGGTCCATCGGTTTGCCACCCTGAGCTGGATGATAACTCAAAAAAAGTGCATGTGGCGTTATAGCATCCGCCTCTTTCGGCTCTAAAACAATACTATGAGCCTTGAGACCAGACACATTAAAAATCGACGACAGCATCTCGAATTTACCAGACCAAGGCCCTAAACTTAGTACCACTGCCTCCGACGCAATAACTCGCCCACCCTCTAGAACTACCGACTCAGCTCGCCCTCCTTCATCAACTCCCACGCTCTCCACTTTCCCTATCACCACCTCCACATTGTAATCATTTACAGCTTTGCTTAACAAAGTCTTGGTAAATAACTGTGGGTGAACCTGGGCCGTAGTTTCAGTTGACCCAATTGTTCTCGGGCTTTTCGCTGGCCCGTCCACCCACGAAGGAAGAATTGAATTAGAATTTCCGGAGGATTTCGAACTGGACGATTCGGTTACAGTGAGGCTGAGAGTGGTAAGCGGTCGATACCCGTAATTTTCGGGTCCATTGAGTTCCTCGGAGAGCGAACGGTGTAGATAAAAGCTTTCACGAGCTAATGAAGAGAGGGAGCCACCATCACACCAGTCAAGAGCTAGGAATCCGCCGGCTTTTCCTGAGGCGGCGCATGCTATGGAGGATTTCTCAATGAGCGTGACGGCGGCGCCTTTTTTGGCTAAGAAGTAAGCCGTGCAAACGCCGATTACACCGCCACCGCATACTGCCACGTGCTTTCGGGAGGGTTTTGGATCCATTGCGGGCGATGGTGACGCGGAGCAGTGGATCGTCGCAGTTGCTACGTAAATTTTTCTAGAGCTGGAGAGTGGTCGGAGAAAGAAAGAGTTGGTGAAAGGTAGTGATTTTGAGTGTAATGTTATCGCCATTTTTAGGTAGCGTAACCGTCGGGAGTTGACACGTGTACTAGTTAACTGATGGAAAGTGCGAGACATTTTTGGTCATGGGCTTAGGCCCAGATGGCATAGAATTGGATATTCATTTTCATCACAGCTTCAGAGTTGGGACCTTCTTGAATAAAAGACCTCCCATAAATTAGAGTTAATGATTTTTTTCTCACTCAAATAATGGTTTAATGGTATTTTTTTTATCCACCAACTTTTAAAATATCACTTTATTACTTAAATTTATATTCTGTTGGTGAACAAAGAGTAAACTCCATCCACGTTGTTAAGGCTTTTGAAAAAGAGAGACCGATAAGATTTTTAGTGGTAGAATGTTGTATTTTGGTAGTTGAGATTAATCGAAATTTGACTTGGGAGGGGTGGCTACACAAACTCTAATCACTCAATTACCGGCAAATGGCAGAATCGGCAAGAATAAGGTTTGAGAGGTTATGGTAAGTGATAATCGGGGAAGAGAATGGTGGTGGTGTAATGTTGCAACGATGTCGGAATCAGAAACAGTATATAAATTTGGGTAATAAAATGGTATTTTAAAAGTCTGTGAGTGGGAAAATGTTATTAAACCATATTATCTGGGTTGGGAAAAAGTCGTTTACTCTATAAATTATTAAGAAATTTCAAGACTAATTGACTGGGTAGGAGTTAATCTTCCTGAAAATATCTGAAGACAATGAAATAATGTTTTATTTTTTAAAAGAAATAAATAGACCAGGCCTAATTTCGCCCAACTATAAAGACCTCCTTCATGGTCTCGTGCTGGCTACGGGCCTGTGCCTGTGTGAACCCTAATAATTTAGTAATTGCTGCAATACCCCACAAAATTATCTCTTAATCATTACAGGGCATCAGTTGTTAAGCATGTTTATTTATTTATTTTGTTGTTGATGTTACAAAATCTCTTGTTTTTTATTGATAGTTGTCTTTATTTAGGAGGACCCAAACAATTTAAGACAGGCATTAAGCCGACAACAATTCCACAGCCCAATTAATCCTTCAATCCCATTGTGTGTTAGGTGAATTATTGCTTGTTTTTTTAAGGGATTAAATGAAAGAAAGAAGTGCTAACCAGTTCAACTTATGATGGAAACCACTCAATTATATATGTGTGATTAAGCTAACCCTTATTCGATTAAGAAGATAAGCCTTCTTCATAATCAAATAAGTATCCAATCACAGGCAATGACGTTGAGAGGTTTGGATATGGAAGCTTTAATTATTCTTTGTTATGTAAAGACAATTTCACATTTTATTATTCCACTTTGATTTGAAGGTGTAGGAATTATTATGGCTCCTATAGTTGCCAACAGAATCATGCAATTAAATTGCAGCTGTCATAGCCATGAGGTGTGGCCCTAGTAGGTAACTGGGTTTCAAGTGGGACAAAGTTTACTTACAATATCAGAGGTTCGAACTGCATTGAAAGTATCTTATGATCAGAGGTATTTACTCGAACCCTGATCGGGATTAGTCTCATACCTTCAGGTAATCTAATATATAAACCGAAAATTGCATTTCTCTTTGTTTTGCTGAATCCTTTAAGCAACTTAAGTATTAGTTACAAGGTGGGCAAAACTGAACCAATTAAAATTAACATAAACTAGTGCAACAGTTAATTGTCATAATCGAGAGAGCCCGCTCAAGTAGCTGACAAGGAAGAACAACCCTAAATTGAAAGTTTTGGAGCGTGAGATATTTTGATTGGTGTAGGAGAATTGCAAAGTGGTTGAAGATCTCGAAAATCTTTAATATGCCTGAGCTGTATTATGTGATAGCTACTTGTAAGGAGCAGTAGAGGAGTCGTCCAATTAATTAAATTTAAGTTTTGAGGGAAGTGATTCCTGACCTAACTAAGAGCCACAACCACAGCGACATATGGCTCCACCTCATTGACAAAGTCCCGTGTGATTAATTAGGGTTTTTATTTCTCTTTTCTGTAAGAGATTTTTGTTTGCTTCTGCTTTTATTAATTAGTAACAAGCATAGAATATATATGCATACGCACACTTTTTTTATAGTCATAATGATGAGAGCAACTAATTTTATTATTATGAGAATATTATAACTTAATAGAAATGTAGTTATAAAAATTAGTATTTTGATTTCTTATTTTATAATTTATTTAGTAGTACAGTATTAGGATTAATTCATATTTTAGTAGTATTAAGATTTTAATTTAACGCTTCAATTGTCTACTTTTGAAATGGATAAAAGATCGTATCTTGAAACCAGCAAAAATAAGTGTCATTGATGGAACTGTAAATATAGTTGATGCATGGTTAATTGATGTGAAGCCACAGATAATTGTCAATTGTTTTAAGCACTGCAAAACTAGGACCCTCGATGTCGATGAATAACAAGTTACAAATGAAGTGAATGAGGAGAATAAAAGTCATTGCAGAATTGAGTGATCAGATTCGGCAACTTCACTATACTAATTGAATAGATATTAATGTCTTCTTCGATCATCCAAATGAGCAACAAGTCGTGTATGCTTTAACTGAAGAAGAAATTATTGTTATAATTAGACAAGAAGAGAAAGTAAATAATCATGAGAATAATTATACGGAAATACAAAAAGTTTCGTGCTATGAAGCTCTAAACATAAATCATTGTCCCAAACAATTTTAGATAAATATTTTATTTAAACTTAAACCTTTAATGTAACATAACATTTTTTTTTTTTTTTTGTAATATACAAATAATTATTACTTGTGGAGACAACTTTCCTTAAGGCCGGAATTAGAAAAATTATAACTTATTACAATGTGGAGTTTATTTTTATTTGTAACCATCTCAAATTGGGACTAGAATTTTTTATGATTATATAGAGATTATTTGTATATAGAGTATCACCATAGAGAGGTTTTACTGTATATACACATGCATGTTTATATTTGTTGGTTAGTTCAAGAAGTATATCTGACTCTCATCCTCTTTTTCTCACTCTTCATGCCACTCTTTCTTACTAAAAATAGCTGCACCACTAGAGGTTGTGTTCACAAGTTTTGGCCTATTTTTGCTGGCTGGATCTGGATGTGTTCCTTGTTGTTGATGCGTGATTTTGACATCAACGACTTGTACATGCAAAGTGCTAAGTTGTTCTTAGAAATTACACGTGATATAATTGATTTAAGAGTTAGGACAAGGCTATACAATAATATTGAATGCAAAGACAGAATTATAAATGAGAGAGATGATTTTTAAAGTGGTTCGGATGTTTAAAGCGATTCCTATGTCCACTGTTTCTTTTATATATTAGAGTTTACAAGAGGTCGAGTATAGCAAACAGCGAACAGAGGTATAATAACTGATTATTCAGAGAGAATATCAAGTTAGTCTTTTTCCCATAGGTTATCTTTGCTATGAAAATAGAGATTGCAATCAGAATCCGAATCCCCAAAATGTGAAGAGGAGTCCTCTATTTATAATAGCTGAATTAAAGGTAATGATTACAAATCTGGAAGTGGGTAGGTGTCGTGTAAGTCCTTCCTTGCCTCCTATTGGCTGATAACTTAGGAAATATCCTCAAATAATCTAGGGCTTGGACAGGTGTGCGATCTTCATTCACTTATAGACAAAACTTGAATCTACTGGGTTGATGACAACTGTATTCTTTCTGTCTTGAGGCAACGTGGCAACTCCTGGATGACACAAAGACTTCCTGAACTCTAATTGGTGCTTGTTGATGTAAGCTTACATCAACCTTGATTTTTTAGTCATAACAGAAGCTCCCCAGTTCTTAAGGTTCAAGAATTGAATCTTGAGAACTTCTTGATTATGTTGCGACCTAATTTGTCTCCAAAATTGTCTGCTCGAGCCAACGACTAAGAACAGCCATATTGTTACAAACAACATGAGGCTGATGTCTTGATTCGACCAATGAACTGAGTGCAGATTGTGATATGGATTTTGAGAGTCACACAAGCGACCTGATGTGATCGTTCACTAAGGTCTAACGACCTGAGCCAGATCCTGTCCAGTGTTATAAAAATGTGTTTCGAACTCTATCTATCATTCACAACCTGAAAACACTTAGAACATTTTTCTGTCGAAAACTGAGAATCATCTCGTTCGGTGTTCGAGTCTAACATGTGGAAAATATGTCTTATTCGAACAACGTCCTTAGATGTTATCCGATGCACTTGACAACTGGCTTGCTCAATTAAATAAGCTTTATCTGACAGACGTGTCTCTGCGCAATAAGTGTCAGCCATGAGCATTAAATGTAAGTCATGCTGAAACGATATTCCCTTTTGAAGCATTTAATGTGGAGGAGATAATCACGCTAGCGCTTAGCAATTTCAATAAAGAGAAGCGCTAGTTGATCTTCACGAAGCATGAAGGTCACTCTTCGTGTGGATTGGTGACACGTGGTCACAATCAATGGTTGGAAACGCGTTCCCTCCCAAACATTGCTTATAAAAGAGACCAAGTGTCGTCTTCCACCTTATAAAACCCTAAACCCATTCTAAGTTTTTCAAAGAACTTGAATCTTTAGAGAGAAAACAACGTTTTCACACTAAAAAAATTAGCCCATCCTCTTCCCGGTTAATGCGCACTCAACGCTACGATAGAGTATTAATTCCTAGCAATCAAGAGGTAAAGAAACTTCTTCCCTCTTTTTCTTTTTCATTTTTGTCAAAAACTTAGTTTTTACAATAATGGTGGCCATGGACGTCTGATAGGCTTAAATGATGAACATTTCTGGGTAGTGTTTGAAAAAAACACTTTTAAGAGTTAAAACTTAAGGTATAGATCTTTAGAAAATCATTCTTAAGAGTTTTTAGGAGCTTTGGCGGCTATGGAAAAGAAACCAGGGTTCTTTTACTTTTCTTAGTCATCGTACAAGGTAGATTATTCAGAGTTTGAGTCACCCGTACATGTCACACCTTCATAGACTCAAAAGACAATGGACATCCCTGAGATGAGAATAACTAGAGAGGGAAGCTCGCAACCACCGGGCA